GTATGTTGATTTCTCAGAACAGAATTTTAGACAAACGATATCGATTCTGGCGTAAATCGAAAAGAAGTCTCTCTCTGTATAGTTTCAAATTTTCGATTTCTGTGTATGATTCTGAATTTTTTATGTATGCAAATTTATGGTTTGAAATGAAGAAGTAACAAGAGATTTTATTCATCTGCAGATCTCAGAGATCACTCTAATTACCCGTTTTGATTATAGAATGTCGAGGGCCGATTCAGCTCATGAGCCATTGTTACATGAGGAGAACTTAGCTCCCATGGCTCAAGACTTCAACCAAAGCTCAAGAACTTCTTCAAGGAAAAGAAGACTGCGTCGCTCTAGAAGCGCTCCTCGTGGTGATTGTATGTACAACGATGATGTCAAAATTGACGAACCACCTCCTCATCCAAGTAAAATGCCAATGTTCAGGGATCTAAACCCGAATCTCAGGCGAGTGATCTTGCTCTTGGTCATATATCTAGCCATTGGTACTCTGTGCTTCTACCTCGTGAGAGACCAGATCGCCGGTCATAAGACCAATAGTGTGGTAGACGCTGTCTATTTCTGTATAGTAACGATGACAACCGTTGGATATGGTGACCTTGTTCCTCATAGCTCTGGCTCGAGGCTACTTGCTTGTGCCTTTGTCTTCTCAGGAATGGTCCTCGTGGGTCACCTTTTAAGCCGAGCAGCGGATTACCTAGTGGAAAAGCAAGAGACTTTGCTCGTTAGGGCTTTCCATTTGCGCCAATCCTTCGGTCCAACAGACGTTCTCAAGGAGTTGCATACTAACAGGTTGAGATACAAATGCTATGTGGCTTTCCTTGTCCTTGTAGTCCTCTTCCTTGCCGGTACAATTTTCCTTACAATGTTTGAGAAAATGCCGCTTATCGATGCTTTCTACTGTGTTTGTTCCACGGTTACGACATTGGGATACGGCGATCGGAGCTTCAACTCGGGAACGGGACGCCTTTTTGCTGTGTTTTGGATCTTGACGAGCACTATATGTTTGGCTCAGTTTTTCCTCTATGTAGCTGAGCTACATGCAGAAAACAAACAGAGGGAGTTAGTGAAATGGGTTTTAACACGAAGAATCACAAATAATGATCTCGAAGCAGCTGATCTCGACGAAGATGGACTCGTCGGGTGAGACATGAGACATATTCTCTCATCCGTTTCCTAATTCTTCTTCTTCTTATCTTTGTCTTTTGTGTGTCACAGAGCTGCAGAGTTTATATTATATAAACTGAAGGAAATGGGGAAGATTGATGAGAAAGATATTTCTGGGATTATGGAAGAATTTGAGCAGCTCGACTACGATGAATCGGGAACTCTAACGACTTCTGACATCATTCTAGCTCAGACAACGTCTCAGCCCCAAAGGTAAA